CGAGGGTTTTGCTCCCGCGTGGGCCGGGGGGCGGCTGCCCCGGCCCGGGGTGGGGGGAAGCGCCTGCTTGGCCCTGCCTGCGCCTGGCCGGTGGAGAGCACCCGGCAGCGGCTGCGCCCAGCCTCAGAGCGAGGACGTCTGTTTTGTGGGGTGCTCCCCGAAGGCTCCCTCCCCCGGCTTTTAAAGCTCGGGGAGCTGTTGTGCGGCCTGAGCTTGGGTGGTCTGCTGCAAGGCTTTACTGCGCACGAGGACGCTGCAAGGACTGTTCCTATCCCTGGCGCGACTTCCTCTCCTCAGCTGTTGTCTGCTCTCCCTCTCTCTTTGACGTCCCTTTCCGGAGGACTGCGTCTATCTGCGGGTGCAGAGCTGTCCGGAAGCACCCAACTTCCACCAGCTGCCAGCCTGGGGCCACCCCGGGAGGAAGCGAACTGCAGCCACAGCAAGGCAGCAATGAGGGTGGCAATCTGACAGCACCTCCAATGCCTCCCGCTCTGGCCACCGTTCCTGAATAACTGGGGAGCTCCAGCCGGTCACGTGAAGGGTTGGCTGTCACAGGAGGGAGTGCAGTAAGGTCTGAACATCCCTGGGAAGCAGCCAGGATGAGGAGTGTTCCCTCGCTCCTGTTGCTTATCTTCCAGGCTCCTGTCCTCGTGGGGGTGACTGTGGTTGTGCTGACACAGGCCGAGCAGGGACAGCACTTTCCTGGCCTGCAGCCACTGATAGTGGCAGTGGGCCTCTGGCCAGCTTTATGCCTGACTCCCCTTGACCTGTCCTGAAGGGAGCAAGCACAGCGGGCTGCAAAGTGGCTTCATTTCAATTGTTCTTCCTTTGCTCCTCTAAAGCAGCCTCCAGCCAGGGCTGCTGCCATCATGCTATGCTGGGGGAGCAACCACTGCTGGTGCTGCATGTGCTGATGTTCCCCACGCAGCCGATTAGCATGGGAAATCCCCCACGTACTCATGGTGGGTAGTTACAGGTCACCAGCAGCCCTGCTCAGGTCAGTGGTGTCTGTACCATGGCCGCTGGCTCTCTCCCTCCTGGAGGCAGCACCCAAGCTGCTCAATATGGTGACCTGCTCCACTAAGAGCCACCCTTCTCTGCCAAGGTCCGTGCTGTCTGCTCCTGCCCTGGGCACAGGAATTATCCCTGTGCTGGAGCTGGGCTATGCTTTAGGAGACATCATTTTCTCCTCCATGGCACCCTTAGCACGCTGAGTTTACACTGCTCTCCCTCCTGCAATCCCCTCCTAACCCTCACCCCCAGTGCTGTTTTCTCCCAATAACACACACACCCACTGCTTGATTAGATCGGAGTGTTATTTCTCTGTATGCCACTGTTAAATGCTTGTCTGGACAGGACCTTTGTCAGAAGGACAAGGGGAGCTGGAATCCCAAGGGATGGCTTTCTGGGAATGGTGAGGTTGTGGGATGCTGAGCATTTTGGGGGAATGAAGCAGGGAGTGTTAGCAGCGAAGCCTGAAGAGTTAATTCTGGGAACCTACAATACCCCTTTCCTTCTCCTTTGGCTGCCAGGAGAACCTGCTGAGGAAGAGGAGGGGAAAACCATTTCTCCCCTCACGCAGGGCAGCAGTCCAGGATGGGGTTTACTGAACGCCAGCAGCTTTCTTTCCTCAGGGCTGGCAGGTCCATACAGAGGAGGCTGGGAGCGGGGCAGAGCTGGCTGCTAGCTTCTTGCCACCTGCACTTTGGGACTGTCCTCCTGCAGGTCCTCCTCATCTGACTGCACCACAGGGGTCTCAGCCCCCTCCTCGCTGGTGTCCAGGCTATTCAGATCCGTGGAGACAGAGGACGTGGAGGAAATGCGTGACTTGCTCTCAGCTGAACTGGGCACTTGCAGGGTGATTTCCTCTGGGCACTGGCTGGCATCTGCCCCTGGAGGAGAGAGTGGTAAGAGAAAGAAAACAGCTTCTGGAGATTTATTGCTCCATAAGCTTCACGGATAGCCCCTTCAAACACACATGTCTTATTCCTCAGCAGACTGTGCTTTCCTGGCTACTCCCTACCTCACACCCCCAGCTTGGCTCTGGGCAGTGCTGCACATCCCTTCCCTGCTCCTGTCAGTGGAGCCTTTTCTGTCTTGTATGAAACACAGCTTGGAGCCATGCTGTGAGGCCATTGGCTGCAGCAGGCAAGGAGACATTTGGCTTGGTTTTGGTGAATCACTACAGCATGTGTGTGTGAGGAGGAAGGTGCTGACACCCTGGGCTTTTCCTGAGGGACCCAAGCCCAGCTCCCTGGGGTCTGGCTGGGAGGTGGAGGGGTTCTGCAGCCTTCCTGCTTGGCACAGTGAGCTCTGCAGCGTAATGGGTACCTGGGAAGTCGTGACAAGACACTGGCTGCTGCAGAGGAGCTTTCAGGACAAGAGAATTTTCCCCACAGACTCTGGAAAGTGCCTGGGCTCTCCTGTCTCCTGCAGCATAAGGTATTTACAGGGGTCTGTACCTCTGGGCTGCAGAGGTGGATACTGATGTGGACCAGCCCAGGGCGAGCTCCCTCCCACCTCACAGACCCCAGCACCAAGCAACTTGTCTTCATATGAGTGTGTGTGGATCTGCAAACAGGGTGGCCAGGGCTGAGGAACGAGCCAATGTGGGTACTGGGGGCAGGAAGGGCTCCCAGCCTGGCCTGCAAAAGGCTCGGGACTGCATGTACCTGTCAGGGGCCCAGCAATGCCGCTCTCCTCTGTCCCACAGCCCAGAAACACGTCCACGGTGTCCTGGTCTGACAGGTCCATCATGTCCATCTGCTCCAGCATGTCCACGTTCACCTCCATGGAGGAAATACTGCCTAAGGGAGCTGCAGAGACAGAGGCCAGCAAAAAGGTGAGTGCTAGTGCCAGGCAACGGGCACCATGAGCCCTGTGCAAGCAGGACCCCAAGGAAGGAGGCCAGCCTTGCTGTGGGGAATTGAATTCTACTTGATGGTAAGAGGCCCCCAGCAAAATCATGTTTCCTTAAAACATCCCTCTGGAAGCCTCTGCTGTCTCCCTGCAGTCCTTGAGCCTGCCCCAAACTGCTGTCTGGAGGAGCCTGTCTGAAGCCAGTAGCTATGCAGGGCGCCAGCCTGGGTACCCATGTGCAGTGACTTCAGTTAAGTGGTGTGAGTAATCCACAGCGCACCCACATGCAGCATGTGTGGTCCTGTCTCAGTGTAGGACATGCGTGTCCCCAGCCATCTTTAGACTGGGGATGTCCTACTGATCTCTAATGCCTGTGTCATCATTCCCTGAAACACCCCCAGCCGTGTACTGGTGCCTGAAGCACTTACGTCTCCGATGCTCTATTTGCAGGTGAGACATAGGGAAGAAGAAATCCACATCATGCTGGAAAACCTCCTCAAAGAACTTCTGCCGGTCCCGTAGTTTCAGCTGCTGCTGCTGCATCTGCTCTGCATCCAGGCTCCGCTGCGCCTGCTCCATGTCGGCTGGAGAGAAAGGTGAGGAGGGTCAGGTCAAGCAGGGCTGTCCCTTCTGCCTGTCCCAGCTCACACAGTATGGCTGTGCTGGAGGGTAGGTGATTCCCTTCTGCTCTGCTTTACCAACGCACATTGATTTAGTCACCATGAATAGATGTTACCCACCAGAACAGCAGTGTCACCAGCACTTGCTGTGCTGGAGCCTCAGATCTCACTTCCACAAGGCAGGGCAGTCAGGAGCGGGGAGATCATATGCTGCATTCACAACTGCTAAAGTGAATTACCAAGGGGGGAAAGAGTGTTGTTATGAGATCAGCCATGGTTTGCACACGTTCAAGTTTCAGTTTCCTTGCTATAAAACAGAGGGTTGTCTGTGAACGCTAACAAACAAGGGAAACTCCCAGAGACAAGAACTGGTGTTAGTGCTCCAGGCTTTTTGGGCTGAGGGATGCGTCAGGAGTAAAAGGCATCAGCAACACTGTCACCCCTGCACGTGTGCACCCCTGCTGCCACTGTCGCTATAAATACAGCCGCACCCACGCTCGCAGGCTCCCCCATTCACATCCCCCGCTTGCACATCCAGCTTGGCTTCTGCCTGCACAAACATTTTCATTCCTGTAATTCCTCTCGCAGTTCAACGCCAGTGCCTGTGGCCTTGGCTCTCACGAGAGGCCTTGGGCTGTTGCTGAAGGAGCTTGTTGCTTTATCCCTGGGCCTGGTACCTCCCTTTTGGGTTATGTACCACAACAGCAAGGGCCCAAATGGCACAAAGGGGCCGTGGCTGGTGTTCCCAGGCTGGTGTTTGACCGCAGCCATTCCAGATTTCCTCTCTGCTGCTCTTGGCCCAGCCAGCATAAGGAAAATGTGATTACTGGAGCAGGCAGTGCAGTAACCAAGGAAACCAAACAAACATCCTCTGCTCTGCCTGAGCAAGGCCCAAACCCTCCACTCCTCCAGGCTGGGGAGGAGGGAACAGCGAGCAGCATCTCCACCCTGTCTGGCAGGAGCAAGGGCAAGGACAGCATGGGGGCTGGCTGGCAGCAGTATGGAGCAGCAGAGGACCCAAACAGGAGAGAGGTGGTGGGCCTTGGGAGACGTCCTGGAGATCAGCGACATATCTTCCTGAGAGCACTTTCTGGGCTCCTCCTCAGCACCCTGTTTCTGGGGCATCTTTCAGCTAAACCCCATCATCCGCAGCCACCTGCCCCGGGAGGCCGGGCTGTGCCTGCAGCACAGCACGGTGATGTGCCATGACTCAGGGCCAGTCACCCCACGCTTTCTGGAAAAGGATCTGCTCCTCTGCTGCTGCTCCGTGCTGCTTCCTGCGATGCCCAGGGTGGCAATGCTGGCTGCCTTGAAGGGGCCTTTGCTCCGGTGTGTCTGTCTGCCCTCAGCACTGAGTGCCTGCTCTGGTGCAGAGGCTGAGTGTGCTGTGCAGCACCTGGCTTTCCTCGCAAGGCTGACTGGCAGCTGCAGCCTGGTGCCGCTGGGGTAAGGCAAAAACCTCCTGCCTCCCCCCGGCTATCTGCAGGGGAGGATAGAGCCAGGGACAAGGAGGGGGTGACCCGGGCACTAGTTATGGAGCTGTCTCCCTTCAGCAGCTGGAGCCCCCCTTGTCCTGTCTGTCCCAGGCAGAGCTCTGCCCCCCAGCCTAGCTGTGCTGAATCCACAGCAAACCACCGCAGCTCAGCGCACCAAGGAGAGGCCATTGGGCTCCAGCCAGAGGCAGCCAGGGCTCAGGGCAGAGGCTGTGCCAGCGCCCAGATGGCTCTCCATGCCGCATCTTGCCAAAGGGACCCAGTGTGGAGATAATGAGAAGAGTCTCTTAAGTCCTCCTGCAGTGCAAATACAAAATAAACCAAAATGCTAGCGGGCACTGTCCCGAGTGCTCTGAGCATGGCTGATGTGTACCATTAATGTTCTCACTGCCCATCTCTTCCCGGCACGTGACCGATACTCAGGGTAAGGGTGCTTGGGGAGAGTCAGGACGGGTGCTGGTGGCAGCATTCCTGTGGGCGCCAGGATTTCTCTTGTGGGAGAAATTAGCAGGACCTGTTTATGAACTTGTTTTTGAGCTCTCGCTGGGGAGTTGGGCACGAGCACTGAGATCCCATTATGTAAGGAATGCCGGCAGCGGGAGACAGCAGCTGGGCTGTGCTTGGCCCTGCCTGACCCGTGACCTCGGTGAGAGTCGGGGATGGAGCCTTCCCCCCTCCCGCGGCTCTTCCGGGCCTGAGGGGAGTGAACAGCCCTGCTACTGTAGCCGCTCCTCAGCAACCCTTGCAGGGGAAATAAAGGAGAGCGGCATTCCCTGCCGCGGCCCTTCCCGTGTGACGGCCGGTCACACTCCCCGGCTGTCAGCCGTGGGGATTGTCTCATCCAGCTGGCATGTTCCCACCACGGGACACGTTCGCACACACAATGCAGCCCCTGTGCACCGTGGGGGATCTGTCGGTACCTGCTGGTGGCCTGGCTTTTATTACTATTGTCATGGTTATTACTACAGCCCCCTCAGCCAAGGGGCCGGAGGCTGATCAGCATTCAGAGCCAGGCTCTCCCCGCTGGCTGAACCGCCCAGCGCGGCTGTGATGGCACCGAGCACCCCGCTGCCTTCAAATCCTTCCGGCCCTCACAGCTTATTAGCCAGCACAGCTCGGAGAGGAACTAGGGCCAAACGCTGGTGCAGAGGTTGGGTGGGCAGGGCAGGATGCGCCCCAGGAGGTGCAGGCAGGGATTTCCTTCTCGCCTGCTGCCAGGCAGCTGCCCACAGGGTGGGCTGTGGGCAAGGACACTGGCCCCACTGGTCCCTCTGCCCTGCCAGGGCCACTGAGGGGCCAGCCCTTGCCTGCTGTGGGCTCATGGCCACCGCTGTGGTGGGGAAAGGTGTGGGAGGGCTGGCCACGAAGCAAACCGCTGCGAGCTCTCCCATCCACACCCTCATCCAAGTGGGCTGGGAGAGAAGCAAGTCCTGGGGTGCAGTTAGCACAGGGTGAGGGCCAGACAGGGTGTGAGGGTGCTGGGAGCACCAAGCTAAGGGTGTTCTCCCACCCAGAGTCTGGGCTGGGAGCAGAGCACAGTTCAATTATCTGGCTGTGCTTCCGCTGGGAGTGGGAAGTGTTTTTCATTCCTCCTTGGCCCACAGGATTCCAGTACAGTCCCCCCTCAGTGCCAGCAAATAGAAGGGGTGTATCTGGGGGTGGGAGAAGGCTTGTTAGTGTAGGCACAAGGCCAAAAGAGGGTGGGGATGGCCTTTTCTTGAGGCCATGGCTCTGCAATACCTTTCAAGAGATTTTGAGGGATTTAAAGAAGGTCCTGAAAAATAACCTGGCCTGTGGAAAGGGACAGGGGGTGATGGGGTGGTGAGAAGTTTAAGTCAAGGGTCGCTCCACCTGTGGGACAGGTCCCTGGTGAATGAAAGAACTGGGGAGCCTGGCCCAGCCAGGTTTTGCTCATCTTCCTGCACTTTCCCAGAGCCCAACCCCCTGACCCTGCACCTTCAGAGCAGACTGGGGCTCCCCACTGCTGCCCAGCTTGGACTGCGCCGTGCAGTGCTGCGAGGAGACAGGGTGGGGGCAAGATGCAGCTCCTTGACTGCCACGAAATCTTCCAGGGGCTCTGCCACGATCACAAGCCTTTCCCTATAACCCTGACCCAGCAAAACTACTGTGGGACAAGGGTAAATTCCAAAGGCTTTTGGCTCCTTTGGCCTTGGGAGAAGCAGCTGGTGTGGAGAGCTGGGAATGCTCCAGAGAATCATGCATGACCAGGCTGTGTGGAGATGGGATGCCTGGACACACCGGCTGCCTGAGCGTTAATTCCCTGCACGGTCTTTCCTCAATCAGCACGTTTGACCTCGTGTTGCAGCACAGCAGAAAATAACTATCCCCCGTGAGAGGAAACGCACCCGGCGAGTGCGAAGGAGGCAGTGGTTTTGGCAGAGCCCCTTGCCGGGAAAAGCAACGAGGCGGGGGGGAACTAGAGAGGGAGGACATGGCACCTTGTAACCCCTGTCTGTGCCGCGGTTTCATCGCCTGTGCTCCTCTGTGCGATCTCCAAATCCCCTGTGTCTCAGGCCTAAAAATATCCCTGCCGCCCAGAGCTCCTTCCCCGGCAGAGGCTGTCATAAGACCCTGCTATTTACGGGGCCCTGCTTTGATTCACGCAGAAAGAAGCGTGAGGACAAGAAAGCCCAGGGGGGCAGCACGGTGCCCGAGGAACAGCGGGGCAAGCCCGGGGCAGGGATCCGGGGCAGGGTCCCCCTGCGAGCCCCCTGTCACCCCGGCTGCCACTCGCTCAGCCTCCTCTTCCCCGAAACCCCGCGGATGCGGGGGAGTCTGCTCCTTCGGGGGATCTCGGGGCTCCCAGGGGTGCCCATGCCGCTCCGCAACAAGCCCGTGGCCCAACAGGTCCCCGAAATCAGCCACTTCCCATGCAGGTGCC